AACAATCTGCATTATGCAGATGACACAACCCTGCTTGCTGAAACTGAGGAGGACCTGAAATGTTTGCTGCAGAGGGTCAAGGACTGCACCCTTCAATATGGATTGAGGCTCAATGTCAAGAAGACAAAGAGTCTCACCACTGAACCAATTGGCAGCATCAGGATGGATGGTGAAGAGATTGAGACTGTTCACAGCTTTAGTCTATTTGGTTCCACAGTCAACACTCTTGGCACCAGCAGCCAGGAAATTAAAAGATATATTGCAATGGGAAAATCTGCTGTTAGGAACTTTTCCAAAGTTCTGAAGAGCAATGGTGTCTCTCTGGAGACTAAGGTGCGTTTGATACAGGCCATGCATGGTCTTTGCAATCACTTGTTATGCGTCAGAGAGTTGGACAATGACTAGGGAGGATAGAAGGAGAATTGATGCCTTTGAGCTGTGGTGCTGGAGAATAATATTGAGTGTATCATGAACTGCTAAGAAAACAAACAGATTCATCCTGGAGAGGGTTAAACCAGGCTGTTCCTTGGAGGCAAAGATTCTGGGGTTTCATCTGACATACTTTGGACATGTTGTAAGGAGGGACAGGTTCTTGGAGAGGGACATCATGCTTGGGGGGGTGGGGTGGAGGGAAAACACAGGAGAGGAAAACCCTCTATGAGGTGGATTGATTCAGTGACTGGGGTAATCAGGATGGGTGTGTCAGAGACAGTGCGGTTGGCACAGGACAGGGCAGAGTTTAAGGCTGTTGTACAGAGGGTCTCTAGGAGTCGCAAGCGACTCGACAGTACACAACAACAACAACAACCAGGAAAACTGAGGCTTTGTTTTTCCAGGTCTTAAAAGTCTTGCACATTTTACAGGGTGCAGGCTTTCCACTTTTCTATCACCCTATGAGAATGGAAAAAATATTTGTGTTTTCCTTCTGTGACAGGATTTGCCTTACACAGGTTGTGTGGTATATTACTTTATTCTATAATTGTTGTTGTTATGTGGCATCGAGAGGGAACCGACACATAGCCTACCCTCAGCAAGCTTTCAGATGCTGTAAATGACATGGGAGGAGAGCATCCATCTATCTCCCATGGAGCAGCTGGTGCATTTGAACTGTGTATTTTTCCAATGACAATGTAACTCTGTGTCTACTAGACCAGAGGTTCCTATTATAGTAAAATGATATCCATTTAAGGTATATAGATTACCTGTTATTTAAGGGGAGAGTTAATATGTTTTCATATTATCCATGATATTTTATGTAAGATATGTATATCCTACCTGACTATATTGTTATTAGGTGCTGTTATGTTGAGTAGGAATTATAATGACTATGAAAATCAGATCCTGCCCTATCCTGTGCCATCCTCACAATCTCTGACACACTTGAGCTCACTGCTGCAGTCACTGTGTCAGTCTGTTTCATTGGGGATATTCCTCTTTTTCACTGTCCCTCCACCTTCCCAAGATGATGTCCCTCTCCACTGAATAGCCTCTCCTAGCAACCATGCTCAAAGTATGTAAGATGAAGTTTAGTCATCTTTGCCTCCAAAGAGCACTCTGCCTGCACTTTTCCAAAGACATATCTGTTTGCTCTTTTGGCAGTCTATGGGATGTTCAGTACTCTTCTCAAATACCACAGTTCAAAGGCATCAATTCTTCTTCTGTCTTCCTTATTCGCTGCCCCGCTCTTAGCAGTATGCCAAGTGATTGAAAAGACAATGGCCTATATAATGAGTATCTTAGTCCTCAAACTAACATCATTGCTCCTCAGTAATTTGGAGAAGTCACGGACTGCAGATTTACAGTCCAGTGCAACATGTTTCCTGATCTCCTGATTGCTATATCCTGATTATATCAACTACAGCCACCTTAAAAAAAACGAAATCGCATCCACACTAACAGACAGAAAGGTGAGTGAGTGGTGAGAGAATGAACTGGCAAGAAGGAAACAGTTATATTTTGTAGTGGCCTCTGACTCTAAAGCCACCACTGAATAACCCTTTATTAACGTTAGTTGGGTCCACTCATTAGGATGTTTCTTCTAGTTAGCTACGAAACAGGCCTGGTGGTGTAGTGCATAATGTATGGGGCCTCTAAGCGAGAGACTGGCAGCTCAAATCCACCAGCTGTTCCATAGGAGGCGGGAAGAGAGTCTCCTGCCATTAAGAAATCCAACGGGGGCATGCCATGACTCAGAACTGACTCCAAGACAATGGGCTTGATCTTGTATTCTGTAAATGTTTACAAAGAAACAACAGTCTGCTAGTACTTTTGGATTCAGGGGTTATTTTTACAAAAACTCTTAGGGAGCTTTGGGGTCCTGGACAGTAGGGAGTAACAGTGCCAGTGCAAAGGCAAGTGGTTCCATAGCTGCTCCCTGGTAGAAAGATGGGCAACCTCCTCCTATGTGATTTACAGCCTCAAAACCCAAAGCCAAAGATAAAACAAAACACTCTTGACCTCACAGAACCTATGTTCTAAAAGGGGACATGATCAAGAAACATGTAAAATATATAGAATATTAGATTGTGATAACTGTTAGCAGAAAAAGCAGAATGTAAGAGAAAGAGAATTTAGGTGTGCGGGCAGGAGTGAGGCTTGAATAGAACTGTTCCTAAAAAGGACCACTTTTTCTTTTCTTCCCAGTGAGTCCTTAGAGCTGAATTTTCTAGCATTACATTAAATCTGTGTTGCACTCTACTATACATAAACAAAATTCAGAGGTATGATTATTGTTAATTTCTCCCCCCAAATCTTTATAATGGATACAAGTGTTTCTTTTAAACAATGAAAAGAATAAACATCTTTTTTTTTTGGTCACATTTTTAATTCAGGGAGCATGTACTGAGCTGCACACACAACTTCCGTCTCTCCCGTGGCACGCTCCCCAGCACGCGCAGGTCTAGCAGGTCAGAGGCTACTGGACAGCAAGTCTCTTTCGAGTTGGTGGTGGAAGGTCCCTTCGTGGTCAAGAGCTACTCTGTTTACTTCTGGGTGAGGGAGAAGGCATTTTGGTCCATTAATTCCCCCACTCGCTCCTGGAGGACAGAGACCAGCTCGGCCACCACGAAGACGTGCGTGTCATCGATGTCCTGAATGATGAACTTCTTCCCCAGGGCGTTGGTCTCATCCAAGTACAGCAGAAACTGCTTCATGGCTGGGTCACATTCTATAAGCACTCCTTTCAAGACGTTGACCATCTTTTCTCAGGCAGAAGATGACGACCTCAGAATGCTCCACCCACAGGCCCAACTGCGTACTCCGGCGTCAGGCCCAACTGCGTACTCCGGCGTCAGACCCAGCTGCGTGCTCCGGCGTCAGACCCAGCTGCGAGCTCCGGTAACAGACCCAGCTGCTGCTCCGGCGTCAGACCCAGCTGAGTGCTCCGGCGTCGCCCCTTAAGTACGCCTGTGCGGCCGCCACGTCTTACGCCACCACGCTCTCGTGGGAGGGGCGCGTCGCGGGAGGCGGGGCCGGAGCCGAGGGGGCGGGCCTGCGGGGCCGGCCGGGCTGGCGGGGCGGGTCACAGAATAAACATCTTTTGAAACATAATTTTACTTGCTTAAAAATAATCCATGAGTGAGCTGAAATATGGTCACATTATCTCCTTGAGTGATATTCAATCAACTATTGTGATAAAATGGAAAACCAAGTGAGGCCAGGAAATTGGGGTTCAGTTTTGATCCCATTTCCATTTTGCTAAGAGAAATTAGGAAGTAATTTTATCTCTGGCTTAGACTTCTTTATCTTTAATATACCATTAATTAATATCACTTTATCAATCTGAGAAGTTTGATTAACAAGTAAGGAGAAAATGCAACTTGTCTTACAGTGAATTGAGTAATCTTCTGAAGGAAACGTAAATCCTCCATGGACATTGTTCACAAGCATTATTACTTCCAGGGGTTTTTGAAGATGGCTGTCCCTACAGGCTGGTCATTGCTGATTTTGTTGGTCATGACAACAATTTTATTTCTCTTAAGTCTTGAGGCAGCCTACCATGGATGGAGAGGTAAGCAGGTTTCCTTTCTGTATTGCTGAGTGTTAGAAAGATTGGCCAAGCCTGAGAACAGAATCCAAATTAAGCTATGTTCAAAATACCTGAACTTTTCTATAATTTTAAGTGGCAGACCTTAAAGTCTGCCAATACTGAAAATGGAAAATAGCAGTACCTTGGCCTTGAAAAGCGATTATATTAGAGTTATAATCCTTTTTTAGGAAAATGAGTTGAGGTTTTTTTATCTTTACCAGGCATACATTTAATCTTTGACTATTAAGCAATGATTAGTGAGAATCCAGATACTGTTAGTGGAAGGACATACTGCTTGAAAACAGGCACTGGAGGTCTCCAAATAGCATTCCAAGGGATATAATTCTCTTAAAAGCTTAAAAAAAAGCCAATGTGCAAATATTAATTGAGTGTTTGACAAATGCTGGGCTTACTGGAGGATACAGGCAGAGATACATGATGCTATATTAGTTACTATACTATTCAATATGCATTGAGCTGCAAAAGAGTCAGGGTGAGTGAGATTTTATGACTGGGGACCACTTGAAAACCTCAGAGCTATAAACCCTTTCTTATTCATGTGACACAGTTTGAAATCCACTATAGGAAAATTCCCAGTACTTCCTTCAGAGGCTCACTAAGATTATTACTTTCTTTAAGAGGCATGTCCAGTTTTCTTTTATGAGTCTTCCTGTCACAGGACACACATCTATAAAAAGAATATACACTAAAGTTCTTTTTTTATAATTTGATACAGCTGACACAGATTTTAATTAGGTTTTGAGGAAGTCCCAGATTTTAATTCCAATCCTGCCACCAGTCTCATAATCTCAAGGATCTTTGAACCTGTTATCATATCTAAAACATATGCTTATAACTTAATTCAAGCTCAAGAAATTGTTGGTTCATTGTTCCTTTCATTGTAATATATGTGTCTGTCTCTGTCCCCCAACTCACTTTGATGGTTTTGTGATGTGTCAATTTGGTTAAGATAAATGATAATCTTTATTTTTTTTTAAATGATAATCTTTAGAATTCCCTTTTTAGTAGGATTTTTGTTGAAGTTAGCTAGTAGAGATAGTGTCATGGATTTAATTCTGCCCACCCCAATATTATGGCTAATATGTAATTCTCAAAGAATTGTCAGGAGTGAAGTACATCCTTTTGGACCAAGATCTATGCACATGAGGGCTCCGTGATGCAGACCGAGGAAGGCCACGGCACATGGAGACCTCCAGGGAAGGCTGTGTCTACAGGAACTGAAGGAAACAAAGTCCTTCTCCAGAACTGACATAGAAAGAAAGCCTTCTCTGAGAGCCAGCACCCTAATTTGGACTTTTAGCTTCCAGAACTGTAAGAGCATAAATGCGTTTGTTCAAGTCACCCACTTGTGGGATGTCTCTATTAAAGCAGTACTAGATAAGCAGGATAGTCCCATGAGAGAATTAGAGGACTGAAGGAGGAAGCAGAGACTTCGTAGCAAACACACACCTTTACTCAGGTCTTTAATTCTGATCTAGGTCCTTTGCAGATGGCTAATGTCCCTAATGAGTTGACTTTAATAAAAAAGGATTATAGTCATGGGGGAGTTGATTTACACACTCAGAAGGCCTTTAATAGAGGCCTCAACCTTCATTGGTTTTTGTTTTGTTTTAGGAGAGGAGAAGATCCAAACTGCAAAGTAAGAAGAAAAAGGGGGCTGGAGAAATGCTCTAAATCATCATCATCATCATCGTCACTCCCCGCTCACTGCTGCCGAGTTAGATTCCGAGTCACAGTTACTTTATAGGCCTGAGTAGTACTGCCTTGTGGGGTTTCAGGTGCTGTCATCTTTGTAAATACAAACTGCCTCAGTTTTCTCTAGCAAAATAACATAGCTGGTGTGCCTTACAGTTAGCCAAGTGCTTAATGATTAGGCCACCAGGGTTTCTTCCTAATTAATAATAATTAGCATTTACTGGGCTTTCTTTGCGTGTCAGATACTCTCCTATCTTGTAATCTTATCCTATAATCTTCACAACATTAGCCAGCATTATTATTATCATCTTTATTTTACAGAAAATTAAAAAGGCCAATAACTGGTGAAGGCCACTGAGATTTTAAGAGATGTTTGGGTTGAATCCTCTAAATTTAGTTCTATGTCTGCATCCCCATTTAGCAGGCTACACTTCTCTGAGGAAGTATAAGCATCACAAGATAACTCAACATAATGGAATTCTTGCTCTCTTCCTCCAAATATGAGCCTCAAAGGCTCAAAGATGATGTTTTTCCCTCTGGGAGAAGAAATTCCGGTCTCTAATTGTCTGCTGACTAAATGTAAGGATGGCTTCAGTTATGAGAGCCAGCATTCATACTAGCAAGACATCAAGTGCACAGAATTCCAACTAGGCTGCTTTCAATATGGGAAGGCTAGGTCTGTGTATAGACCAGAGTTCGGGATGTGTTGTCAGAAGGGATGACTTTCTTTTATAATAAATGCTTGTGTGATGTTAATATGTGCAAATGAATCCTTTGTAGAATGAAAGGTCCTTCAGGAATGAGAGAGAAGAATTTGTAGTAGTTCCCAGAGTTTTCCCTGAAACCTGCCAGGCTGGTTCGTAGCCTTTAATTCAATGATTGCTGTCCGTGGTACTGAAGAATGACAGTTGCTGGAAGCCAAGCAGTGCTGCATGGTCCCCTGAAGAGGCAATCAACTCTCCAAGAGCATCAGCTCTCATAAGACATGAAGCTACTTGCAACAGTTCCATGATATATCTTCAAGAATATGAACATATACGGCTAAGCACACTTGATGACAGTGCATCTAAATTCCAAAATCAATCTCCACAATAGTCTATGTATTTCCTATTGCCAATGGGGCCCTTTAGAGTAGTGAGAGAAGATCTTCACTCTGAAACCTACGGGGTCCCTTTTCAACAGGAAATAGCTAAGAGAATACGCTGTCCCCTTTTCCTTATGAATCAGGGTGAAATCTCTCTCAGGGAGGAGTGATAGGGAATGGCAAGGGATACACTGACAAAGGAGATTAATCAGAACTGGCTTTGACAAGCACTGTGGCAATTGGACAATTAAAACAGACTTTCAAGGGGGAAAAAAATAGAACAAACTGGGTGGGAGGGTAGAGAAAATAGTGCAACTATGAAAGAATGGAAACCCAAAGTCTCTGTAAATGTTCATTTAAATTAATACATTTTAATAAAAAAAGGATAAAAACTAAAAAGAAAACAAAAAAAGAAATGAAGCTACTATTTAAGGAAGCCAAATAAAAGGTGAAGGTCTTTTGGAGCACAGTTGACTTCCATAAGGGAAAATTTCTCTATCTTGTTCCCAGAAACTGGAAGGTGTCGCCCTCTCCAAGGTGTAGCCACTGTGACCTTCAATGAGATGGACTGACACAGGGACCCTCAGGGTAGGCTTGGGTGTATCAGAGATCATCAGGAAGACACAGGATAGGGCACAGTTCAGATACACTGTTCATAGGGGAGCAATGAATTACTGTAGTAGATTCAATGGCACTTACTGACAACAACAGTGCTCCTTAGAGGCAAGGTTGGCAAAGCTTTATCTCACATACTTTGGGCATGTTGTTAGGAGAGGCTATTCCTGGAAAGGAACCTCATGTGTGGACATCACGTCAGCGAGAGATAGAAAGACCTTCAAGGTCTTGATACAGTGAGAGCAGCAATGGGCTTAAGTGTATTGGGGATGATAAGGATGGTGCAGGAAGGACAAGGTTCAGATTTGTTGTTCGTTGGGTTACTATGACTTGCACCTGACTCAATGGCATCTAGCAACAACAGCAACAGGTATATCTTCTGCTTTCATAAAAGAGCAACATATTTTTTATAGACATTTTTCCTGTTAGAAAAATTCAAAGTTGCCTTTGCCACAGCAAAAAGTTGATGTAGAAATAGATTCTTAAAATCCTGACTTAGTTAATTCACCAAGACTAAGGTTTAACCACTGTAAGCCAGAACCTCTTACACGGGCAGGGACAATGTGGCTACAGGTGGAAGTAAGAAGATTTGAGACTAGGTGTGAGGAAGCTTTGCTCCTAGCTAGGGCCAAACACAAACCCCCAGACCTTCAAAATCCTGCCAATATCTTGTATCTGGATTATAATAAGCAATATTTTGCAATGACTGTAGCACTAAAGGAAGATCTAGCATTGAGATGATGACTCAGGTAATA